TTATTTTTTTCTTTCTGAACAAATATTTTAATTAAAAAAAATAATAACCAATTTACATGATTCTGGAGTGTTTCTGGCTTCTGCAATGCAAATGTTTTTTCGAAACAACTTTTCAGTGCTTATCATGGCTCAACCATTCGGAATGTCCCAGTAGTTTAGTTTAGTTTAGTTTAGTTTACTGGACAACATATAATTTAAATTGTCTTAGAAGCTTATTTGAGGAGTTTCGACGTTCCTCCCCTGGACACCTGTATTATTCGTGTAATCTGCATCTATCCATCCGTTACTCACGGTTACAACCTTTCCCGTGCACTAATCGAGATAAGTGAGATGTCATGCGATCTTCTGGTAAGGAACTGATGATTTGCTTCCGGATCCATCGAATACATAGTAAAGAATTTCTCCAAAAAAATGTTTTTGCGTTTTTAGCGCTGCAATCTAGCATGACAGCGCTGAACCAGTTGCCCCAGCACCACGCCACCCTGGCGATGAATGCAAGGTCGCTAGATATTTTCCCGCCCGGACGCCTTTGTTTACAGTATGAGACGAGGTAGGTAGTAGCTGTAGCCTGAAAGAACATCAGGCAAGAAGAGTTGCGATCTCACATTTGATATGAGTATTTTTTATTTATATTTTAGATTTTTTAGGTTTTTTGTATTTTACGTACATCGACCGAGGATGAAAGAAACAAAAACTGCATGTTTAAAAATTATTTTTATTTAGAATTTGCATAGTATAAATTCCCAAATTCTAATCAGAATGTGTAAGTCTCCATCGTCGCTTGCGTTTTTATTGCCCCAAACGACGTCGCCAGCTGTCTCCCGAGTTCTATCGTGACGTAAGAAAAATTTCTCAATCGTCTGAAAGATGGTTCCTTCGGTTGGTTCATCTCTCATCCAGCTCAGGCGCCTGAATCTCGAAGTATTGTAGGCTGAGTGTTGTGGGAAGCATAAGCAACGTATCCGATCATTAATACAATTTGTTTCCCCTGAATTTAATCGCGATGGCGCCATTGTGTTACAAAAAGTTTGCAAACGTCACAGACTGAAAAAATGGTTGTGTATGTGTGTGTCTGTGGGAGGAGATACATGATCAAAGTGCTACCGTTACTACTACTTCGTAGGTACTGCAAAAACTTTTCCGATCAGTGCAGAGAGAGAGCTGTTGGAATAAGTACAAAAAGTCTGGGCACTTTCGATGCCTCAATCGATACTTCAGATGTGAACCACACCCGCAGCAACCAGTTGCCTAGAGCTCTGGAATGGCTCCTCTCTGACTCTTAAGGTAAATGGCAAAACGTAGTTACGGGTTTTGTGTGAACGTACGAACAAGAAAAAAGAAAGGAAAATACGCGACCGCCTGTGGCATCGTCGCTGCCTCTCTCTCCACTACAAACATCCGCAACGCCTCTATTGCCTTGGCCACCTCTGCCTTCAATTACGCCTCTACCCCTGCCGTTGCCGTCACACACCTGACTCCCTTCCACTACTTCTATCCACTACCAGTACCGTTACCGGTAACAACAACACTACTGCTGTAACCATCACTTCCGCATCCACCACTACTACTGTTACCACTCGCACTACCACTATCACTATCGCCACCACTCTACCGCTCGTAAGACCACATTACTGATCCCACGTCCACTCCGACTGCCACTCCGACTGCCACTCCGACTGCCACTCCGACTGCCACTCCGACTGCCACTCCGACTGCCACTCCCACTGCCACTCCGACTGCCACTCCGACTGCCACTCCCACTGCCACTGCCACTGCCACTGCCACTGCCACTGCCACTGCCACTGCCACTGCCACTGCCACAGCCACTGCCACTGCCACTGCCACTGCCACTGCCACTGCCACTGCCACTGAAACTACCACGACCGCCTCTGTCGCCACCCTCTGTGTCACCACCGCCTCCATCGTGACGGCATTCATTGTCACAGCTTCCATCATTATCCTCACCGCTCCCGTCAAGGTATATTGGTATGGTGTTGTTAGCAAGAAAACCGTCATTGTCACCAAGGCCTCCCTCTCTATCATCGCCGCCACCGCCTCCATCGCAACCACCTCCGCCACCATCACCCCCATGCCCGCCGTCGCCTGTTGCGTGCTTGGCCCGGAGGCATGTTTAAAAATAGAACAATGCGTCGCGTCGCATTGGGCAGCGTTGCCGCCCGTCAGGACACCTGCGGTTAGCGGTGCAACGAGTCCACAGGGCTATCGGGAGACAGGCAGACTACTTCCACTTCCTTGCGCCTTACGCGCCTTCGAGCTTCCCAGCAAGAACTTATCGCGGATTCATAAATAGGGAAGGGTGGAGCAAGTTTGTAAAGTTCGGGTTTCCGGGCCACCGCTCTCGCCTTTCTTGTACTTTTTAAAAATATTATTTGTACAAAAAACATTGGGTTAGCTTCTAGTTGTAAGAAACGTAGAGACCCCAGTCTAAATAAAAAAGCGAAGAAGCGGTCTAAGCGAAGAAGAACGATATTGTTTTTTCTACTTCATGTTTTTGTTTGTTTTTGTTCCACTTTTCTTTTATGTTGAAGGTTTTAATTAGAAATCTTATCCAAAAACATTCGTCGCAGCTTCCGTGGAAAACATCTAAATGTTAATTTAGAACTCCAAGTTACGTAAGTTGTAACAAACAAAATTAATTTTTTTTATCCTCACTTGAACTAAATAAGAATACACAGTAATATGAAAACGTCGTTAAAAGAAAGTCCCTCTCAAAAAGATCCACCAGTGTACGTAGAAAGATCAAAAGATTCAATGAGATATTGATTCAAGTTTGAAGCTGAGATCTCTAAGAGCTACAACGTGACTCTCTGGATTTCTGCCAACTTCAGAATGCTTTAAGCTTCTGGATTGGAATACTAAGAGGACAATGAGAATTGAGTTGTATAGCCACTGTATAGCCAATATATAAATATAAATTCACCAGTGAACATTCACTGCATTCGTAATTCTGTACAATCAAGTATAATTCGTTTGAAAAAGACCGTTTACGTCATATGTCGTATTTATGTTCCCTTATTCTTTGTTCGCCCGTCCCATTTTGCATACAATTGTTAAAATAATGCACTGACAAATAACTACGACAATACGTGTTCAGCACATACTCAGTTTATAAGAAACAACGAAAATCACTCTTGAGCGACTCTTAACGGATGGACGATTGCGAAGCAGAGGGGCAAGGTTCGATGAGCTGTAAGAATTGCAAATCCGTTCCGTCTAATGCAACATTTTCTTCACGGGGCACTGAATAATGAAGCCGACATTTTGAAGAGTGAGGCAGAGAAAGTATTACCAAATGAGTTCACATTCCAAGCTTAAGATATTGTTCTGCTATTTGAATACATTGTGGATGGAACGGTGCTGTGTTGTTCATATTACCTGCCCTGAGAAACCGAATGGGAAAAGCACGAGAAAAGAACAGCAGCTAGCAAATAGCTTATAAGAAGAAAAGATTAGAGGAATCCACCGATAAGACAGCCGAGAAACTGAATGAGTCCCACCTCTTCATTTTCACTGCAGAATGTGCCTCCGTTCGACAAAGCTATCACAGAATATCTCGGAGTCATCTAATAAGTTTAAAAATGTTAAAAATTAAAATTATTTTTATCATCAACCTTACTGTATTATGATAAGAATTAATGAATATCCGGAACTACGCCTTTGTATTTTGTAAAAGATACGGTTGTTGGTAGTATTGGACGTTTGTGTTTCCTACGTGTAGCATTAGACGTTTCCTTTTATGAATTCATTCGCTAATTTCGTAAGTTCATCCTTCCTTGTATCAGTCGCCTCCTCCATACATATGAAACAGTGTAGTGTAGCCGAAGAGAGGTGGGGAAGGGACTCGAGGAGAAGGTAATAGAGCAAGCAACAGCACAAATGCGTCGCGCGGGGCCCGTGACCTCGCAAGGTCACTGGGCCATTCGGAGGGGGCCCGGCGCAGCTCGACGCCGCGCGGCGCGGGGGTGACCTAGGGCGAGCGGATTCGCCGGGCCCTCGACCGCTCGCCCGCTCGCCCGCTCGCCCGCTCGCCCTCTCGCCCGTCGGCGGAGGCGGTACCTCGCCTCGCCTCGCCCGCGTCTCGCCGCGCGGTCACCGCCCTCGCGCGCCCTGCTCGCCCGCCCGCCGCCCGGCCGTTCCCAGCATCCCGGAGGCCCCGGAGCCCTGGAGCCGCGCGGGCCAATGGCGACGCGCGTTCGGCCCACGTGACCGCGCGCGGGCGAGAGCGACGAGGAGCGAGGCATCGGCGCGCGGCTTTCGGGAGCGGGACGGCGGGCGGGCGGCGCGGGCGCGGGTGAGGGCAGCGGGGAAGCGCGCGGCGCGGAGCGGGGCGGAGCGGAGGAGGGCGCGCGAGCGAGGCCGCTAGTCGCCGCAAATGCCCGGCGCTCGCCTGCACGCGCGACGCGGGTTGCCTACCCTACGCCTGCGGGCTGCCGGCGCGGGAGCTCCGCCACCCGCGTCTTCGCGCGGCTCCTCCAACGCCTCGTCCGCTCTCCGCGACCGCGCTCTCGCGCCCGCGGCCGCGCCGGACAGCCAGTGACCTATACATCGACTTGTTGAGCTGATTCGTAAATTTATGTGATTCGTAAATGTAGTTTATAATATTTAAATATTTATATTCCCGTGATAGAGCATCTACGTACCGTTCGATGTTTTGTAATATAGTTTAAAAAATATATATATTTATCGCTGTGCCGTTTTCGTATAAAGCGTTTAAAGTCGTTAGTGTGGGGCGTGCCGGTGAGGCGTGAGTGCGTGGTCAACGGCGCGAGTGCGTAGCGCGTAGGGCGTAGTGCTTGGCGGTGTTCACGTACGCGCCGGGTGCCCGCGACGCGTATTGATCGGCGGCGTAGCGGCGGCGGCGGCGGCGGCGGAGGCAGCGGCAGCGGCGGCGGAGGAGGCAGCGGCGGCGCGTAAAGGCGGCTGTTGAGCTCCGTGCGGCCCGCGACTCCTCTCGGCGCTCGCGTCCCGGCCCGAGCACCATGGTGGGCGGCGGCGACGACGTCAAGGTCGCCACGGTGGACGTGGAGGCGGTGGACAACATGGCGACGCTGCCCGTGGGGCGCGCGCACGGCGGCGGGGGCGGCGGCGGAGGCGGTGGCGGTGAGCGCGGCAGTGAGCGCGGGGGCGCCAGCGACGTCATCGCCGAGAAGAACAACGTCACCAACAAGGAGATGGAGCTGAAGAAAGTGCAGCCCAAACCGCCCAAAAGGTACGGGCGGCGGGGGCGGCGAGTCGGGCGGCGCGGGGGCGGGTCAATCGCCGCCGCCGGAGGCCCTGAATATTCCCTGTCCCGCCCCCTCCTCTCCCCTCCCCACTCCCCCGCTCTCACTGCTCCAGCGCCTTCGGGTTCCGCGGCGGGAAGATGCGCTGTGACCTCTATGGCAACCACTGGACCTCTCACCAGTGGCTTGCCGCACACCTCGTAAGGGGGCGGCGGGAACTCGTCACTCTTTGATTTTTCTTACTGAATAAATATTTTTGAAGCGTTCTTAGAACAGTTATGCTTGTGAATTAAGTGAAAAGTTCATCCCCGAAAGTGAATGAGAAGGAAAATATACAAGGGGATTTATTCAGAGAAGGAAGATAAACTTATTTATTAATTTATTTAGAATGAAGATTTATTTAGCGTAGCTCTTGTCAAATAGTCGTATGTTATTATGCTTTTAACTTTTAAATTACTTTAATTGAAGATGAAAACGAACATGACTTTTCAGGGGAGATTAAAATAAATTTGATATTTGTTTATAAGTAAACATATTGGTAACATCTCGGACATTTTCATATGACATTTGCCGAGCTGCGAGCTTAGCGCTCGCATCTTTTGCGCTACGTAGGGCTGTGTCAAGCGATCTGACACTCGGGAGTTGGGAAACACTGTTGATGATGAGTATCCATTTTCAGGTAATGATGGAATAAATGGAGGAGATATTTAGCCAAAAAAATAATAATTTTATTTACGTTTAGTTGAATGAAGAAATATACAAGATTGTGGAATGGGTTATTATAAAATCGTGCACAATGGTGGAGCAACGAGGGGTAATGATCCAGTGTTTTGCTGGCATGTTCCAGAATTTTTGTGTTGATTTTATCTGCTCGAACATTGTTTGAACCGTAATTATATATTAACCGAATAACTGGTATTTGTCCATACCTCTCTAACAAAATAAAATATTTCATAATTTCAAACACACATAGTACACATGTCAGATCATCAATTAACAATATTTTTATTCATAGTTCAGATTTGAGATAAGTTTCATAATGTGTGTATTTCTCAAGCGATTAACAAGTTAACAAACCCACACTTGTGTTGATTAATCGGTAATGTACTTGTTTTCTCATAAATATTAAATTGAATTCATGCCTTATTATACGTGGCGAGACTTGGTCCATCAAGCCCGCTCTTCCATCTGACCACAGAAATTTCACTACGCTCCTTTCACCAATTAGCAAACAAAGGAGGTATTTCTTGGGCGAGAAACTGGCGATGTGAATTTAGCTCAGGCGTCATTTAGGCTTGAGAATCTTCTTCATGCAAGTAAATCTACTAACAAGTGACAGCTGGCTTTACTTCCCCTCCGAAGGAAGACGTACGAAGGATTTTTTCGCCCTCAAGAATCCACGGCTTAGAGCGGGTTTGAACCCGCCAACATGGGTTTAACAGTCCCATACGCTAACTACCATCGCGTTATACCATCGCCGCGCGCAAATTGATTGTTGATCTCACGTTTACTGTTGGCCTTATAATATGAATCCGCACGCCGTCTGTTGTCACTCAACTGAATGCATTTTAAATGTGCATGTGTTTACCGCGGCAAAATGTGGAATTTCCCGCCCGTCTAGGCAATATCTGGAGAACAACACTCACGAGAAAAAATGTTCTTCCTCCCACCGAGACACTTAGCTTATCTACTCATTATGCTAAACAACTGAAACAATTATCTTTTTGTATTTGAAAGTTAAACGTTTAGTTTCTGCAAAATAAATAATCCGTATTATTTTCATTCCATTTACCTCAAAATAATGCATGCATTCTTTTCATTTTCGAAATAATTTTGTTTTATATCATTTTAATATTTATTTTATGTACTGTTTTTTTACTTCATCTGCCAGGAGAGAAATTTCGCATGAACTAACATTTTTGAGCGGCTATTATAGATCATAGATAATTTTATACGCGTGTGGCCAAACAGTCGTTTAGCTGTCTGGGCTCTGCGCGTACGTATCCATTTCTTTGGAGGGTCCTCAATGCGATTTCATTACGACAAAGTGACAAAAGGGCTGTTTTTGAGCAATCCTTCTGTTTGTGTCTGAGCAGTTTGTTGTACGTAATTAAACACCATTGACCCACATTTATCTTGGGCTTCATCATTCCCTTATATATTTGTAAAAGTCTATTAAATTCCGTATAATTTTTGGTAAATTCGTTGGTTTCTTAAAATACCAAAATTTGAAACAGGAGTTCAAAAGCTGCTGCTTTTGTTTTTCATGTGCTGCCAACATCACCCCGCTAAAACATCTTTTTTCAGAAATCCAGGATGTGGGATAACAGCACTGCTACATTCACGGAACTTAAGCGCCATTATTTTGTAACATTTCATGAATTTTTATATGGGACCATGCAATCTTTTTGTTCAGTTACCTTTGAGGCCAATAAGGGACGGTTTCTTTCTCATCAGAGGCGAAACTAAAATTTGTCGTCTGGAGACTTGGAAGTCTGTCGCTCTTCACGAAACTGGAGCACTTATCATTAAATATCGCAATACTTCAGAATTTTATTGAAAAAAAAAAGAAAGAAAAAAATTGTGATCGATAGTTTTCAAGTAAAAAGATTGATTTCGAAATATCACTGTGGAGGGGAAACAAGAATGACCGGAAAGGGAGAGGGACGAAAGTAGGAACGGAAGGGTTTGGGATGTGATTTTCGCCTTTAACGTTTATCCAATTCACGAATTATGACGTTCGAGGAACCAAACAATCCGTTGTCAGCGTGGAAGCTGACAGGGACTTAAAAAATAAGAGCTTTTAAAACACGATTGTTCGCCGGTGCAGCACCGATGGCTGCTGCGTCTGCACGTTGCGGATCTAAAAGATTGATTTCCTTCTAAGGAATGGATGCTTTTATCTTTTATCGTTTAGAAGACAATGCCAGTCAGTGCTGAAAATACCTTAAACCAACCGAAACATTGAAAAATAAATAATTATAATAATGATAATAATGATAATAATGGTAATAATAATAATTATTATAATATCAATAATAATAATAATAATAATAATAATAATAATAATAATAATAATAATAATAATAACGGGCGCACCCGCGATTTTTCTCAGGGCGGGGTAACGGCATAGAGTCCAGCCGTCATGACGTTCTCGTATAAAGAGTTGTTAATTTATTCTGAATGCAAAATGTATTTTATTTGTAGTCTTATAGTTAATGTTTATAACATAAACAAGCCGAAACCCCCTTCCCCCGTTGGTACACCATTGATAATAGGTATTCGAATAAATGCAGTCGCAACGCATGAACATCTTTTAGATCGGACTGTTTTGTAATTGAACGTCGATCGTGTTTCTGTTTGTCCTTGGTCTCCTCTCGTGTCGTTCGTGTCAAGCGCTATCTCCTGGCGTCGCCACGCCCTGCGCCTCCGCCCCTTGGGTCCTCCCTCGAGCTGCCACTTCCTTCCTCCTACTCGTCGCTTCTGGCTCAACACGCTCGAAAAGCATTCCGTATCCGAAGAGGGAGGGAGTCTGGGTTTATCAGGAAAAGCATATCAATTTCCTATAAACGTTAGCTGGCAATTTTGCATGGGAACGATAGCTGGTGTGGTTTAATGACTGGCTCTTAGCAGTGTGCGTGGGGTGACTTGCGTTGTCTCCTGTTCGGCGATGCCTGCACTTCCAGTTTAGAAATGGGTTCTTTAGTTAAGCGATCTCCGACCTTGGCTCTTAGTAACTGTATTGAGTGGTAATCCGCTTATACCGAATCAATCTAACCGTGTGCTTGTGATATGCCTAACGAACTTTGGATCTAACGAAATACAACCTAGGAGGAGCTTCGCAAATGCACTCGTATTGTCACCATTATAATAAACGATGGGATAATTCGAAAGGTCCAGTGCGATGACCTTTCCGTTCATTTGCTTTGATTTCTTTACATTGCCTTCATCTTTCTTAATACTATTTATATGTATTGTTCTTTTTTAATTTTTATTTTTGAACTTTCTTTTTGTACTTTGTGATTAACAGCCACCGAGCGTACGCTCATTTGCAGTTATACCTTATTATTATTCTTGTTATTGTTATTTTTGTTGTTATTATTATTGTTATTATTATTTTATTTCGTTACTTGTAATGTATGCAATACGGAAACAGCTTTTCAAGAGTGTACCACTACATCAACAACCAGTTTGGGGCATATTGCCAACACCCCTCACTTCTGCGTGCTTAAATGCTTAACTACGTTGTTCTACTAGTAGGGAAAGTACAGTCGAGGAACTCTGAGAGCAGTAAAATATGCAGAACATCCTCCAGGAGATTTGCGATGGTAGATTTCTGAAGATAAGGGTTAGGGTGCGCGCCGGCTTTCTAGAGAATGCTGCTCGTGTAGCAGAACAAACCCTAGCATATCCTCCGCCAGTCATTACATTTTGTAGACATTTTCAGTCCATAGTTTGGTGAGATGGTTGGTACAAGCAGTTCCATATCCTACTGAAAAGACTTGGATATATGTTTCATCTGCTCAAACAACACTGCACAAGACGTTTACTGACAGATTTCGATGCTCTGTTCAGCACCACTCGCGTTAATCTACAGTTACGAACCCCCAGAAAATCAGTGTGATTAGAACAGTGCGCTGACGGACACATTTCAGCACATGATGCATGTTAACGAGTATGACCATGCACAATTTCGTATCCTTGCATTTTTATCGATCGATCTGTCGGTTGCGTTGCAGTTCAATATGCACGGGTTACTGATATCTGTTCTGAATTTAACCGTACCTATACACCATCCAATTACGACACGATAAAACATCTTTGATGTTACGGGCACACATGTCATAAAAATATATATATTTGCTGTTGGTTTAAAGAAGGGGCTGCATGAAGGCCCAGCTTGTTATTATCTGCCAGAAACCAACTTATGGGAGACCACAGAGAAGACTGGGTAGTTTGGATTGCTAGCGAGGAATAGTGACGGTCT